AGATGAATGGATAAACAAACTATGGTACATACACACAATGGAATACTATGCAACGATGAAGAACAATGATGAATCTGGGAAACAACCTCACAACATGGACAAATCTGGAGGGCATTATGCTGAGTGAAATAAGTCAATCACAAAAGGGCAGATACTGTATGAGACCACTATTACAAAAACTCAAGAAAAGGTTTACACACAGAAAGAAACAATTTTTGATGATTATGAGGGAGGGGAGGGGAGGGGAGGGGAGGGAAAAACACTAACTAGATAGTAGATAAGTGGTAACTTTGGTGAAGGGTAAGACCGTACACGAGTCTGGGGAAGTCAGCACAACTTGACAATGCAAAGTCATAGAAGCTTCACAGACACATCCAAACTCTCTGAGGGACGGAGTTACTGGGCTGGGGGCTGGGGACCGTGGTCTCGGAGGACATCTAGCTCAATTGGCATAACATAGTTTATAAAGAAAATGTTCTACATCGGACTGTGGTCAGTAGTGTCTGGGGTCTTAAAAGCCTGCGAACAGACATCGAAGATGCATCTACTGGTCCCATCCTAGCTGGAGCAAAGGAGAATGAAGAAAACTAAAGACAAAAGGGAAAGATTAGTCCAAAGGACTGATGGAGCACGACTAGCACAACATCCGCCAGACTGAGCCCAGAACAACTAGATGGTGCCCGGCTACCACCACTGACGGCTCTGACAGGGATCACAATAGAGGGTCCCAGACAGAGTGGGAGAAAAATGTAGAACAAAATTCAAATTCACACACACACAAAAAAGACCAGACTTGCTGGTCTGACAAGAGACTGGAGAAACCCCAAGAGTATGGCCCCCGGACACCCTTTTAACTCAGTACTGAAGTCACTCCAGAGGTTCACCCTTCAGCTAAAGAGTAGACAGGTCTATAGGGCGAACAATAACACACGTGACACATGCTTCGTAGTTCAGTCGTGTGGATGAGACTAAATGGGCACATCAGCCCAAAAGCAAAGACGAGACTGCAAGAAGGGACAGGAAAACTGGGCGAATGGAAACAGGAAACCCGAGGTGGAGGAGGGGAGAGTGTTGACACATCGCAGGATTGGCAACCCATGTCACAAAACAATTTGTGTATTAATTGTTTAATGACAAACTAATTTGCTCTGTAAACTTTCACCTAAAGCACAATTAAAAAAAATATATATATATATATACATATATATATAGTGCACAGCCTGTACCCGAAAGGGACTCACAGTAGAGTGGCAGAAAGGAAACACAGACACATTTTTTGACATTATGAAGAGGAGGCTGAACCTGTGTAAGTAATACCTGTGTAAGCAGGTATTATTGTGAATACCACTTCTTCTACAGTCACCAGAGTACCCAAGACACGGGGAAGGTGTTTGGAAAATGCATGCAGAAAGCAGGAAGGCTGCCCTATAAGCATTATCACACAGCGGGCCGGGGCTGCCATCAGAGACTGCTGGAGCACGGGCCCTTCCAGGAAGCTTCCTCAGCGGTGAGAGGCGCTCTCTGCCTGGAGGGTGGCGGGCCCCGTGGGCTCCATTCACCGCTTAAGCCCGCCCAAAACTCCAGGGCCCTGAAAGTGGGCACCATTTCCTGGGGATTCCCTGCCCTGGACGAGGTTTCTCGGGGAGTGCCCTCGCTGTTCTCAGATTCCCTACAGACCGCGGGGCAGCGCCTTCTAATGGGAGGAGAGCCCCATTTCTCCTGTGACTGAGCAGCGAGACCCCACGCAGCTCCGTGTTTATTCCGACCATCACCAGAAGGGGTCGCTTTTCCCTAACAGAGTGCTGGGAGGAGCCGTGGGGCCCGGCACTTGAAACGCGGTGCCTGCACAGCAAGAGGGATGGAAGCATCCGTGATTCCGCCTTTAACAGGTGTCTACATTCCTCTGGGAAGGCGGGGAACCGGTCCTCCACACACAGTGGGCAAGGGGCCTGTTTACCGAGGCTAAGGAGGCTTTTGGGATGTATTTGTTGGTTAACTCAGAGTTTAACCTGAAATCTTTGAGTGAAAGTTTAAAAAACAATTTTTTTTGTTGGGGGGTTGGGGTCGGGGCAGGAGCTAGTTTAAACTGAGCATTATCGTTAGAAATATATATATATATGTATTTTGCATAGTTCTTCTCCAGAAAGGTAGTTACATAAATATTTTAAAAGATTTTACAGATTGTAATGTATTAAAATGATGGCATTGCATTTTACTTTACGACACTGCATCGTAGGTAACTCTTTTCTTCATAGTTTAACAATTTGGGGAATCTATGTTTTATCGTGCCACACGAAGTGGGGCTCAAATACCCTCGTGGCACCTTGTTTGTATTTGTTTTGTTTTCTTTCTAGAAAATCCCATTTCACATGGGTGAGAGGATGCATTAACACTGTTTAATGGAACGCAGAATATTGTGGGTGAGCGCAAAGGAGCTGAGGAAAACACGCCTCCCTGCTCAGGCTGCTTCTCTGTGCAGGGTCAGGGGCTCCAGGTGGGGTGTGTGTTGGGGGGGCGTTGAGTTATGCAGTGCTGAAGACCATGCCCCAGACCAATACGCTCTCAGGGCACTCGTAAAAACCAACCACAATAACCAAAATATATATAAAACTTCAACAGCTTAACAACAAAAAGACAAATAACCCAATCATAAAATGGGCAAAGGACTTGTATAGACATTTCACCAAAGAGGACATTCAAATGGCCACCAAACACATGAAAACATGTTTGGCATCATTAGCCATCAGAGGGATGCAAATCAAAACCACAATGAGATACCATTTCACTCCCACTAGGATGGCTAAGATTAAAGAAACAAAATAACCAATGTTGGTAAGGATGTGGGGAAATTGGAACCTTTATCCATTGCTGGTGGGAATGCAAAATAGTATATAACCATTGTGGAAAACAATGTGGGGGTTCCTCAAAAAACTAAAAATAGAACTACCATATAATGCAACAATTCCACTCCTAGGTATATACCCAAAAGACTTGAAAGCAGAGACTGAAAGAGAAACTAGTACACCAATTTCACTGCAGCACTATTCACAATAGCCAAAAGGTGGAAACAACCTAAATACCCATCAACAGATGAATGGATAAGCAAAATGTGGTACATACATACAATGGAATACTACTCAGCCAGTAGGAGAAATGAAGTCTTGATACATGCTACAATATGGATGGAGCTGGAAGACATTATGCTGAGTGGAATAAGTCAATCACAAAAGAACAAATATTGTATAACCTCACTTATATAAAAAGACAGGAGAAGGCAAATGTATAGAGAACAAAGTTTATTAGTGGTTACCAGGGGCAGGAGGGAGAGGGCAAGGGGGGTTAATGGTGATGGAAATATGTTGATTAAGGGTAGGGCTGCACAGCTGATTATTGTAATCGCTGTCAATAAGTTGCTTGCCTGTAAAAAGTTGAATTGGCAAAAGTTGCGTGATAGAGGTATCTTAAAAAAAAAAAAAAGAGTAGCTTCTGAGGCTGCTTATGTACAACTAAAAACCTCATGGGATTTGGTGTTCTTGGTTTGGAGGTTTAGGGTCATGGTTTCATGGGACATCCCAGTTAATTGGCTTAATAACATTTTTAGTGCTTCTGTTCTACCTCCTAGTTCAATGCATAGTGCCTGGGGTCTTAAAAGCTTGCAGGTGACCATCCAAGGCACAACAATTGGCCTCTATTCACCTGGAACAACAGAGGAAGAAGGACTGTCAGGAACAGAAGGAGGATATGGAATGTGTGGCTAACTAACTGCCTTCATGAACAACTGCCTCCTTTGCCATGAGACCAGAAGAACTGGATGGTGCCTGGCTACTATTACTGAATATTTTGATCAAAGAGTCCATAGAAGGATCCTGATCAAAAGGGGGAAAATGAAGAACAGAATTTAATATTCTCATGAACTCCAGACTTCTTGGAGCCATGAAGGTTGGATGAACCCTTGAAACTATTGCCCTGAGATAATCTTTAGACTTTAAAGCAAAACTATCCCCTGAAGTCTTAAAACCAAACAATAGTTTAGCTTAACTAGTAAAAAATGTCTGCCTTGAGCATTATGCTCTTTTAAGAACTATCTATATGGAAACAAATTGACAACAGCAACTCGAAAGATTAGATAGGAACCTTAGGGGGCACTGAATTTGTTAATGGGGGAGGAACAACTCAGAAAAGGGGGTTACACAACTCGAATGTAATCAATGTCATTAAATGTAGAATTGGTGTATAATTTGCTGTGTGTATTCTCAACAACAAAATAAATAAAATATATAATAATAATAATAATAAAACAACCAGTTGCTGTCAAGCCGATTCTTACTTATGGCGACCCCATGTGTGTCAGACTAGAGCTGTGCACCATAGGGTTTCCAATGGCTGATTTTTTGGAAGTAGATCTGGGGTGCCTCTGAGTGGACTCGAACCTCCAGCCTTTTGGTTAGCAGCTAAGTGTGTTAACTGCACCACCCAGGGAGACTCAGGGCATCCATAGGGCTTTAGAATGAGGGCCAGCCCTGTGCCATTCCATCACTGACCCAGGAGCTACCTGTCACACTGTCACAGACAGGTGAGGCATGCCCCTTTTTCACATCCCCACTCAGCTTCTCCTCTCTTCTTTTATCTTTTTTCTTTTCTGCTGTTTCTTATATGTTTTCCTTTCCCCCATTTCATGCTTTTTCTTCCCTGTCTCTTCATTTGTCTTAGTGAGGCTAAGAGCTTTCAAAGGCCAGCCTCTCTCTGTTTTCCCTACCATCAGCTTCTTTCTTGCCTTTAAGCCTAAGGCGAGACCAGTCTTCTTGGACAGTGAGCCCACAGGGCTTGGGGTTGTGCTGTCAGCAGATCTCTGAAAATGGTACATCCCAGAGTTAGGAAGGCTGGGAGCATCACTCTGTGTCGTTAAACAGTCTACGTGAGCAGAATACACAGCACAGAGCTTGCATGCTCACGCTGTGGGACAGCCATTGTGTCCTGGGCCTGAACCGAGTGTCACACACCTCAGCTCTGTCTTGTGGATCTCAGCGATTTTCCTTTCCAGCTTCTCTGAATGTTTAGGGAAAAACTGGAACTTGGAGCTGTAGCCTTCAGGGTGTTTCCCTGGATCATAATCCCCAATCTCCGCTTTAAAAAGGAAGACAGAGGAAAATAATTGTGGAGACAGGTAAATCATTACTGGCAAAGCAACCAAAAGATTTAATACACAGAGCAAAAGCCCAGCATGAATCAGATTTACAAAGAGCAGTGGATCCGGAGCCCGGCTGTGGGTTGGGAGTGGGCACAGGGCAGAGGGCAGGAGGGCAGACCCCTCAGGTACATGCCCACCTTTGTTTTCCCCTTAGACGTGCACCCTGGGTTTAAACAAAAGATGGTAGTGTTGACCCTGTTTTCTGAGATCACCGCAAATAAATTTGCAGTAAAAGAGCAGAAGCCTGTGACAGTCCTCACCCCTTCAGCCATGAGAAGAGGGCCCGGGAGCACGGCTCTTCGTGACAACACAGGTCACTGTGAGTTCCATCAGGAAGACAGAACCTCTTGGGCCTGAGCTAGATCAGAAGTCTTAATCTTGTTTTTGAGGATTTAGCAGCAGATTGATGAACGAGCCATGATCCAAACTCAAATCAAATGACTAAATCTGAATAAACATTCAGTGCAGGCTGAGAGGTACCAGCTTTGAGAGAACTGCAGAGCTTGAAGACTGGCTGTAACCAGTTAAGTGTCCCAGAGGTCAGGAGCGCTGAGTTCTAAGGCTGACTTCTCAGTTCTCTGCCTGGTGTGGCTTTCTCCTCCGGCCATTCACAAAGAGAGTCCCACTCAGCTCTCCCCAAAGCTGCTGACCCACGGTCCTCCCCACAGTGCATTCTGGGTCAGAATCCAGCGTTCTCCACGTGCAGCACTCGGAGGGAGCATGGTGGGTATACGAGGAAGAAGAAGGTGCCAGCTGCTTTGTGGTTGCCCTCTTTCCTTCCCCGTGAGAGCCACAACAGTTCAGATGAGAAGTCTTGAGGGAGGAGTAAACCCTAAGAAACCTGCCCTTCTCTCATGGCTGAATGTTGTACTTGTGGCTTGTGCTCTTTCACCGCAAATACAGTGTCTTCCAGATCACTTGGGAATTTCTATCATTTAGGAAGAGACAAAAGGCTTCCCTGAGCCTGAAGTCCAGGGTGAACCTAAGCCATGGAGTCATTTATTATGATTTTATTTAGAAAGTCCCAAGTGGAAAACATCCATGCTTAACATCAAGTACTTCTTTAAAGGAAAAATAAAATGGAAAATTTCAATACGATTGTCAAGGTAAACCGGGAAGAAAGAGTGGAGTTTAAAATTTTACTTAGAATGGGTTAGGCTTTCTCTCTTAAAAATGTAAGAGGCATCTTTGGATACCTTATAGTTAGCAAGCTCCTTCTAGACACTTCCCATTTAGGGGGTTTTTAAAAGAGAGGTCTCAGAAGTCAAGGTTGCAATGGACTGGCCCTTACACTGCTTAACAGGGCTGTGATATTTCTCTTGCCAGAGGGACATTAGTTTCTTATTGGCTAAAACTTTCTAGTCTCTCTTTACAAAACAGTTTCTGGGAGTTCACAGTTTTCCAAATACAAGTCTAGATTCTTTGATGGAAACTTCACGATTTTAGTACTATGGCCCAAAATGACCCTGTGGTAATGACAGTTTCAGGTCTAGGCACTAAGAGAAATCTAGGAGGTGGCATTTAAATGCCCCTGTACTTCAGGAAAGGGGAGACACCACATGTGAAGACTGTGTATCAAGTTTCTCCCACTGTTTTGCAAAGAAGCCAGTCTGGGCATCAGCTGGGTACAGCCCCAGCTCTTAGTTATTAGCATGTCAGAAAATGAGCTTGTTACTTGGAAATATTTTCAACTTTGAGTGCTCTGCACTAAAAGGTCTCTGAAATAGACACCAGGTGCTTCACATCTTGGAGATTTGCATGAGAGGGTAGGAAAAGATTGATTCAGGTAACTCTCCAGAGTCTCAATAACCTTACTAACTAAGGGCGCAGGGCAAATCCCCCAAACAGACTGGTATAAGACCTTAAGTACAGTTTAGGATTGAGTGCTTTCTGGCTCTAGGGAGTCTGGGCAAAATCCTCTAGCTTGGACTTTGGTTTGGGTTAGATACTGCCTATATCCAAGAAGTAGTCATCTGTGGTAACCGAAATAATGTAATTAACACTTAGCATGAAAAGCAAATGTATCCGGTCAAAAACCATTACCTTGAAGGATATAGGCTGCTAACAAGGCAGCATCTGATGTTTTACAGAGGAGGCGGCCATGGTAGAGATCCCTTTTGATCTGTAGGAAGACCAAATACCTGGAGAGAAAACAGAATGAACTATAAAGGGTTTCTTTGACTGCTTTAAAGACATAAATATGTAACATAGGTCTATCAAAATCTTTGTCAGGACACTTTTACTACATTAAAAAAAAAATCTCAAAACATATCCTAGAACAAACACGTTTTCCATTGCCCTGAAGACTCTCTCATGTGCTTTGCCCTGAACTGATTTGAGGTTTAATTCAAAACAAGCTGTCAGTTTCCTTCTGTAGCTCAGAACAGAAATGGCATTTCCTGGTAAAGGCATCGTCCCTCAGCTCTGGGCTCTGAAAGGAGCCAGCCCCTGCCAATCCAGTGCCACAGACAAAAACTGTGCCATCAGAGAGGGGCAACCTGGGCTCTCTCTCCACCTCGGACTTATGTTCCTTCATAAGAAGTGGAACGGTGGGTGAAGGAACTAACCCAAGGAAGAGTTCAGCCTCAGTTTGCCATGAGAATCAGTCCATATGGAGAAACAGCCTTCAACTATTTGGCAGAGGTCAACCAAACGTTTCAGAATTTGAATAAGGTGTAAGAAGAGGCACTGATAAGAAAACACAAACATGAAAGCAGAAACCTGTGGCCGTCTCTTCAAATATAGAAAGCTTTCATCTCGGATGGAAGCAGGCTATCAATAGCTAAGAGTAGCTGATATGTATTGAACACTTACAATCTGCCAGTCCAGGTTTTAGGTACTTTACATGTAATATCTTCTTTAATTCTCACATGTCATTTTGAGATCCTTAAAACCCACTGCTGTCTAGTCAATTCTGACTCATAGTAACCCTGTATGACAGAGTAGAACTGCCCAGTAGGGTTTCCAAGGCTGTAAATCTTTACGGAAGCAGACTGCCACATATTTGTCCCGGGGAGCCGCTGGTGGGTTCAAACCGCCGACCTTTTGGTTGGCAGCTGAGGACGCTTTGAGATAGGTACTATTAATACCCTCACTTTTACAGAGTAAGAAACTGAGGTTTAAGTGATTTTCTCATGGACATACAACTGGTAAGTGGCAGAGCCAATATTCAAATTCAGGATTGTTAGACTTTTGAGCTTGGTTCTTAATCACTATGCTATGGAATCCCTATGTGGTAGACACCATGTGAGCGGTATTTCAAATACCAGCAGGGTCACCATGATGGACAAGCTTCAGTGGAGCTTCTAGACTAAGACAGTCTAGGAAGAAGGGCCTGGCGATATACTTCTGAAAATTAGCCAATGAAAACCCTATGGATCACAACAGAACATTGTCCTACATAGTCCTAGAAGATAAGCCCCTAGGTTGGAAGGCACTGGAAATATACAGTGGCTGCAACAATGGATTCAAGTATACCAACAATTGTGAAGCCGGAGCAGGACTGGGCAGCATTTCATTCTGTTGTACATGAGGTCACCATGAGTTGAAGCCAACGTGACAGCAACTAACAGCAACAACAATATACTGCCCTTCTTGCACTATTAGTGCTTCCTAGTTTCACCCCAAACCAAATGAAATCCGTTGCTGTCGAGTAGATTCCAGCTCATAGCCACCCTGTAGGACAGAGTAGAACTGCCCAATAGAGTTTCCAACGTTATAATCTTTACAGAAGCAGACTGCCACATCTTTCTCCCATGGAGGTGCTGGTGGGGTCGAACTGCTGACCTTTCAGTTAGCAGCCGAGTGCTTTAACCACTGTGCAGTGGAATAGAATTGCTGATTTTCCATTTTGAAATGTCTTTACAAGGAGTAGGACTTCTGGTTTTCAAGACCTCACCAGTGCCCTAAGAAGAGCAAAACCCAGGAGTATCAAACCCTTGAGTGGGTCAGCTACCACACTGTCTCCTTGGCCAAGGAGAATCTGTGGTAATTTAAAAAATACACATACAAATTCTTTAATACTCCTAATTTCAAAAGGTCGAGCTTAATTTCCTCTCTTTGAGTGCGAGTTGGACTTAGTGGCTTGCTTCTAACAAATAAAATAAGGCAGAAGAGATAGTGTCTGACTTTTAAGACTCGGTTATAAAGGCATTGCAACTTCCTCATTGTTTTCTCTCTTAAATCGCTCACTTTGTGAAGACACTCTAGAAGCCCTATAAAGAGGTCCGTGTAGCAAGGAATGGAGGTTTTTTGCCAACAGCCAGCAAGAAACGGAGGCATTCTGCTAAGAGTCATGTGAGTGGCTTGAAGTGGTTCCTCCAGCCCCAGTCAAGCCTTCAGATGACTGCAGTCCTGGCTAACCTCTTGACTGCAGCCTCTTAAGAAATCCTAAGCCAGAAACACCCAGCTAAGCTGCTTCTAAATTCCTAACACAGGGGAACAGCAAGATAGTAAGTGTTTGCTATTTTAAGTTAAGTTTTGGGATAATTTGTTATGCAGCCATAGATAACTACAGTCTCCTTAGGAGAGTAATGGAAATGTAGTAAAATTCCCTTAAATACGTCAGTCTGAACCAAAAAGAAATTGGAGCCTCCCTGAACAAATTGTGGTTTCCACTGCTTCTGTTTTCAGGTGGAAGAATAAAACAGGAGATTCCATACCACCTGATCATGTGAAAATGCCCAAGAGAAGGAGGACCATTGACGGTGTAACTTCTAAAAGGGGGTGGGGCAGGGGATGAGCAGGAGAACTTGAGAGCCTTGGGCTTGTTGATTCAACTAATTAGTATCAGAAATGAAGGTGCAATCAACCTTCTCAAGGCCTTGCTACTCAAAGCACGGCCACATATCAGGAGCATCAGCATCACCTGGGAGCTTGTTGGAAATGCAGAGTATTAGGCCCATCCTAGATCTACTGAACTGTAATCTGCCTTTTAACGACAAACCCAGGTTATCTGTATAAATATTAAAGTTTAAGAAGGACTGTCCTAAGAAAATTGGAGAACATTCTTCTAACCACATCAGGGTGGACTGCCCTCCTCACACCAGAGGGAAGGTGAGTACTGTAGTCTGGAATTTAATAACCATTTTCCTCCTCTCCTCCCCTCACTCTGCCCCATTGTTTGCCAAGAAAAATGAAAGGAGAAAGGCATCATGCAGAGTGAATAATTAAGATGGATCTACCAAATCAAGCTTGTCTTCACTCTGCTTCCCACAGTAAAATGCCACACGGTGTGTGGGAGAGAGAGAAAGAGAGCTTCTCTGCCTCTCACTGTTCCACTCCCACCTTCCCTAGGCTTTGGCAGCGTGTGGATGCAAACGTTTTGCCCCTTACTCACTGATCACTTCCTGGGCCTGTGTCCATGCATCGCTCCTCCACACCTCTCTCCTTGCCTGTGTCCGAAATTCAGGGGCAATATCCACTGGGCTAGAGGAGTTACTTCAATGGGATGCCAAAGCTCTCGGCAGTGATTCTCAACGTGATGTTGAGAGGACTGTCACCCTGGGGCGCATGTCAGGATCTTTAGGGGATGCCCCTGAAATTTGAAAGGCTTCTTTCCCATCCTCCTAAAGGGTACCTGCTCCTCCTTGCACTAAGAACCACTGTCGTGATTAGGCATCGTGATTGATGGGCACATGGCAGGTGCCTCAGGTGAACTAGGTTAGAAACAAGGCTGTCCACTGCTGGGTGGAGTTCCTCCTGACTTCTGGTGGCCCAGGAGCAGCCTCCGGCAATGCCATAAAAATTGGAGTGGGGGTGGGGGGTGAGGGGCAAGTCAACATCCTAAAGAAATAAACCACAGTCTTCAGAGGACAAGAAGAGATGAGCTCATGAAAGAATCAGCTGACAGCTCCATGGAAGAAAGCTGTACTAGGCTTCCTCCCTCTTTTTTTCTGCCACAGCAGCTCCCATCATGCTTCATGCTTTGTTCATTTAAGGAAGAAACCAATGGCTCAGTGTTGATGGTCATGAAAAGTATCCCAATGACTCATAGCACCCTTAGACCTATCTCCAAGAGAACTTGGCATGTTTTCCCCTGCCACACGTAGGTCGAAGGAAGACTATCTTGTTGCCCAAGGCACTACCACCAGGGCCACTACGTGCTGCCTACTGAGGCCACCCAGCCCAGCTGGTTCCTGATGATGAGCAGGCTAGCTGAGTTACCCAACCTCAGCACCTCAGAACAGAGAGAGTGTTTGGAGTCATAGAGCCCAATTCCCTCAAGTCATAGCTGAGGAAACACAAGTCCAGAGATGTAGAGTGACTTGCCTGAGGTGACACAGTGATCAGAATCAAGGACTCTTGACTCCGGGCCTGACACTTTTCTACCCGTGATAATTCAGTTAGGCATCCAGTTAAGAGAGAGAAGGGTCCTAAACAAAGTCAAGAGAACTCTTTGTCATCAAAGAGAAATTCTAATTGGAACCAAATAAGAATGATCTGGGATTTGCTGCCATAGTTTCCAATAAAATAAAATAATATTCTATTGGAACACAGCCATTCTCATTTATTTACATATCATCTATGGCTACTTTCACACTACAATGGCAGAATTGAGTATTTGCAACAGAGACCATATAGCCCATGAAGCTGAAAATACTTGCCATCTGGCCCTTTACAGAAAAAGTTTGCCAATCCATCTTAGTCTAAGCTTTTAATCTTTACACTAGGCTCCACCGATGTTCCCTGAATGAATGACTTAACAGCTCCATTCATTCATGCATATATATATATTCATTCATTCTATCATTCTAGTAACATTTTTTGAGCACCTGCTGTGTCAGACAAATTTTGCTTCTTTGGAAGGGAGGACTCCATTTGCATTTAGTTTCCTTGTATTACTTGATCTTTCCAAATAGTTCCTCCACCTGCTGTTCCTGTTAAAAGCTAAATCTAGTGCCTAATCCCCATTTTCTGTGCCTCGTCTCTAGCCCAGACAAGAAAATCTATTTATTACTTTAAAAAATGACAAAAGAGATTAATCAGGATTTGGCATCTAAATTTATCATCCGGGGAGAGCTCAAGAGATAAATTGAAGCATAGTTCTTCACTCCCTACTTCTTCATCCCCTCCTCTCAGCCTGGTTTTATGGGAATGTCTGAGATGGCAGCAAAATGTAGGACCAATATTGCCAGGAAAA